TGCCGACATCATCTCTTTCATGCAGGAAGTTTCAGGAGTCTTCAAAGCTCTGTGCCAGCAATTGGGGGTGAAGATCAAATCTCTATTTCTTGTTGTAGCACAATATCGCACATGGGAGTATTCAGGAGTATTTAGATAAGAGTATTTATGGGTTCAAAATTCTCAGGCTCGTCTGTGTCTGCTCAATATCCCCATTCCAAACTTCAGGGACCCACTCCTCCCCCAATCAGTGCCCTTATAACATAAGAGACCCTTAGGACTGTGCATTTAAGTGCTTTTTATAATTCTATAACCCATATAATCGGGCTCCGGGTCTGAACACTAATATCTATAAAAGAGAAGAGATTGTGTTCAGATAGCAGGGTGGGGGTGGGCGCAGGCAAGGGCAGGAGCCTTGGACCAGGATAAGAGCAACTTGGTTCCAGCAAGTGATGATGAGGATTTGTCCAGGAAGCTGAGAAGCAGTTATGCTTCATGAACCAGAGGTGGGTGTAAGAGAAATGGGGGTATCAAGATTTCTTTCCTGAGATTTTCTGAAATTTCTCTCCCTTGAGCTAACCAATATTTCCTTATTTCTCTTGAGTCCTTCCATAGGTGGGCTGAGCAGGCACAAGGAAATATAATACATTCTTTTAATTCCTCTCTCTTATGAAATATAGAGATACTCTGAAGATGTCTTCATAGCAGTACAGAGCCTCTCTCTCTTTTATTTCCCCCAGTTGCAAATTATTCCCTTGTCAGGATGAATCACCGTTCATTCCCCAATCCCCAAGCTCCCAGCACTCACTACCCTTTAGGTGCCAAGCTAAATCTCAATCTACAACCTTAAGTTGAATCTCCACAGCTTTCCTGTGAATAAGAGTCTGGTTTTCCCCATATTTTCTCAGACTCAGAGATGAATAGCCACCGTGCCCTTGACCCTGGCAGTTATAGCTCCAACTCCAGAAATAGACTTGGCTCTGCCCTTTTGTGTTTTGTGACCTGGGAAAGTTACTCAACGTCTGTTAAAGAAAAAAAAAATTATTCTGGCACTTGTCAAAATGGTATATGGAAGACTTTATGCAGGACTATAGCAGTAGGGGGGCTTGCAAAAGGGGAGAGAGTTGGGCTCAACCCTGGATACAACAAAGACAGCTGGGGATAGCTGGCCAAATCACAAGAGTCAGGGCGTCCATGGAGATATATCAAGGGGAGGGAGATTCTTGCTAAACTGACTTAACAGGATTCTTGCTAAAGAGAGGCCAAGGATTTATATATTAATGTTATCCATCAGATAACAAGAGTTGGGGGATGACTCAGGATTCTTTGCTCAGACTGGACTGTGCAGACCAAAGACAGGACTGGGGCGAGGGTTAAGGGGTAGTTGAGAATAGGGCTCAGAGGACTAAAGTTTGGTTAAGGAGAGTCTTTGTCATCTCTCTGTGCTTCAGTTTCTTTCTCTGGGAATTGAGAATAGGAGCCCCGGCGGTGGGGGTGGGAACAGTTCAGTGACAGAGTGAATGGTTAGCATGCACGAGGTCCTGGGTTCAATCTCCAGTACCCCCATTAAAAACAAACAAACAAACAAACAAACAAAAACCAAACAAAAAACCAAGAGAACTATTGCTGGAATCAAATGAGATAATTCCTGCAATACGCTCAGCGCATAGCCTTCTCAGTAAATCGCAGCGACTTGCTGTGTAGGGATCAGAACTCGGATCAGGTGGGACGTCCAAGCTGCTACCTTGAGAGCAAGGGGGCCTGATAGGACAGGGCTACAGGTGATCAGGAGAGGGATGTGAGCAAGTGGGCTGGAAATGCCTCCCGGAGGAAAACGGGGTCTCAACCAGCGAAGCAGGGCTGGCCAGGCAGACAGGGAAGACAGGCAGGAAGGAATGTAGAGCCATATGGCAGGAGAGTTGGAGGACTGAATGACGGCCGACTGCAGTCTTGATCGCCGAGATGAGTACCCTGGGCTTGCACGAGAGTCAGGTCGGGAAACCTGACTTGGGTCCTCCGACCGCATGGGTTATTAAAGTCGCTGCGCGGCAGGAAGACCACACTCTCCCGCCCCTGGGCTGAGCGAAAACTGAAGCTGGAACCAATAGGAGAGCCGCCGCTGCAGCGAAAGGGCGGAGCAGGACAGCAGCCAATGAATGTGCTCTTTTCAGGCGGCCAATAGGAGACGGTGTCCCAGCGGCGAACAGGCGGCGGCAGCTGCAGGGTGGTGGGGCGGGGTCCCGGGTTCCGGCCAGAGTTCCTGCGAAAGGGTGAGTCTGGAGGGGATCGCGAGGGGCCGCGCCTGGAAGGACGCCAGGGAGGATGCGGCCGGCGGGAGGCTCGGGACAGGCTGCTGGTGGCAGGAGGTGGGTAGAAGCGCCCACACTGCCTTGGGACTAGTTGATGCCCGGTGGGTGCACGTCGCGGTTCCTTCCCCTGCCAGAGGGGCTTGCCAGAGGGGTTTGGAGGTTTCAGTGTGTGGGATGCGGACCTCACTCAGACCCCATCTTCCAACCTGGGTCTGGACCCAGGGGGAACTAGGAAGAAGGAGATGGGCACCCCAAAAGCCCCAACCCCACGATCTTATCTAGAGCTTTAGTAAGATAATAATAGTGATTTTAGCTTACTGCATGCCAGGGCCGGGCCCTTTCCCTGCCTCACCTCATTGAATCCTCCCAGCAACCCTTTGAGATAGTGACTATTACGTGCCCATTTTCCAAATGAGGAAACAGGCTGAGAGGCGTTGCTTCCTGACGAATCCGACATTGCGCTATTATAACATTCTCTTTTCTGCGTCACTGTTTTAAATCAGTAATATCCGTGGAATCGTTGACAGACCCTCCCGGAAGATACTGGGGACCTCAGGAAGCCTGGCCCTTTGAAAGAGAAAAATCATTGTGATGATAAAGCCAGTAATAAGGACTTCATTCTTGCTCTTCTCCGATGTTATTTTTTCATTCCTGTTATCAAGGTGCTGACCGTATAACATGCAAAACTGTGTTGAACCATCACAACCTAATTCACTCTAGTTTAAAAAAAAGAATGTAGGGAGAGGGAAATGGTTGGGTGGGTGGTAGAGTTTATGCTTAGCATGTACAAGGTCCTGGTTCAATCCCAAAGAACCTCTGTTTAAAAAAAAAAGAATGTAGAAAAAAATTCATAACTACAATAATCTGTTTTAGTTACACGATATAAAAAACATGTAAATTATAATAACAGCAGTAATCAAAATGTGAAGTGGAGGAAAATTAAAAAGTGTAAAGTTTCCAAATTCCTTTGAAGTGAAGCTGTTATCAGTTTAAAATAGGGTGTTATAAGTGTAAGGTATTTTATGAGAATGTATGTAATTTCTCATAAAATACCTTACACTTATAATATTAAACTTAGGGTAACCACGAGGGGAAAATCCTGTAGTAATTACATCAAAACACAAAGCCAGACAGCAGAATAGGAAACGAGGAACAACGGATCTGCAAAACAACCAGAAAACAACAAAATGGCCATGGTAAGTCCTTACCTGTATGCAATATGGTAACAGTGGTGCATAATTCACTCACAGCTTTAGTTTAAAAGTTAAAAAAAGGTGGAGGGGGGGGTTATAGCTCAGTGGTAGAGCATGCACTTAGCATGCGGGAGGTCCTTGGTTCAATTCCTAATACCTCCATTTAAAAAAAAAAGTAGAAACTTCACAATCATCTCTTCAGGGCAACACTCTCAGCATCTCCATATCTCCATTTTCCAGATGGGGAAACTGAGGCCCAGCATGGCTAAGTGACTTGCCTGAGTTGACACAGGATTCACCTTCCAGGTCTGTCTGACCACACCTGTCTGCCTGGTTATTTTGGAAAGGTGGGTTCAGAGCAGATTTTTGTATCGGTGAATTTGTCCAGGAAAGGTTTGGGAATATTATTGTTCATGACAGCTCTAATAGGTGGGGACACACCCCATCTCCAACAAGCAGATGTGGAAACTGAGGCTCAGGGAGGGGAATTGGGTGCCTAAGTTTGCACAGCAAAGGGGGTCCAGAATCTTCAGGCCTCAAGTCTGGATGGTTGGAAGGTTGAGATGCTAAAAGAGGGGCCTCTAGGCTGAGACCTAGGGGCTGATAAAATGTTTCTTCCCAGCCCAGCCAGCTGTCAAGAGCATGCCTCTGTGCCATTGCGGGGCCACCACCAGGAGCAGAAAGCCCGATGGGGACGAAGCTCAGCCCATGGCCACCAGAGGAGGCTTGAAGGTTCTTCTACACTGGGCTGGCCCCGGTGGCGGGGAGCCCTGGGTCACCTTCAGCGAGGCTACACTGACGGCAGAGGAGGTCTGCATCCACATCGCACACAAAGTCGGTAAGTCCGAGGCATTGGCCCCATGGCAGGGTGGAGGTGCTGGCAGCATCTGGGCCCCATCCACCCAATCGTCTGCCCATTCACACTCAGCAGACACTGAGCAAGCACCTACTGTGTGCCAGCCCCAAATTACTGCCTTTGGAGAGCTGATATTCTAATAGGAATCAACAGGAAACACAATAAATAAGAAAACTGCATAGGATGCCAGAGCTGATGGCAAAAAAATGAAAAAGTTGAAGAGATAAGGGAGGGAGCCACAGGGATATCTGGGGGAAGATGGTGCTAGGCAGAGGGAACAGCAAGTGCAAAGGCCCTGAAGTGGGAAATTTGCCAACAACAGTGACAAGGCCAGTGTGGCTGTAGCTGAGTGAGTGAAGGGGAGACAGGAGTAGGGGAGGGCAAGGAGGTGAAGGCACAGGTCGTGCAGGGCCTTCTGGGCCTTAGGGAGGACTTTGGATTTTACTCCAAGAGAGGTGGGAGCCATGAAAGACTGTGAGCAAAGGAGGAACATGACTGCCTCAGGGGTCACAGATGCTCTCTGGCTGCTGTGGGGGGAGCAGACTGTGACAGGTGAGAGCAGGAGCAGAGAGACCAGGGCGGAGGTGACCTCTAGATAGGAGATGATGGGAAGCGGTCAGGCAGGGTCAGATCTTACAGTGCCTTAACCACCAGAGGACTGGGGAAGCTATAGCTCAGTGGTAAAGTGCATGCTTAACAAGCATGAGGTCCTGGGTTCAATCCCCAGTAACTCCATTAAAAAAAATAATGGAAAAATTAATTTAAAAAAAACACCAGGGGGAGTAGTTTAGAGTTTAGACTTTTTCCTAGGAGCAGTCGAGAACCATGGAATTATCCAGAGAGCCTGCAGTAGATGTACTCAAAAGTGTAATTTCTGCCAGAGGAGAAGAAGGTCTCTCCAAGGGGACTTCGCTTACATGCCACGTCCTCCAGGACATCCTCTCAAACCCCCTTCCCCACAACTGGATGAGGGCCTTCTGGTAGATTTCTGTAACACCTCGGACTTTCCCATTGATGACTGATTCTTAAAGAAGTTAGACAGGTTTGCTGGGTGATATGAAACATGCTTGGCTGAGGGCCCAGAAAGCCTGATCTGTTAGAGAAAGCAAAGGACTTTAAGAGTAACTGGAGGATCAGTTTCAAGAATTTGGAAGGGAAAGAGGAATTGGAACCAGAGCATAATTGGTTGGGCCCAGCTGATGGATGGCTGACTAAGAGAGTTGGGCTGCCTCAGGGCACAAAGGGGAACCATGGAAGGTTTAAGCCAGAGAGTGAAACAGTTGGGTTCTTTAGGAAGTTGTCTCACAGGGAGGCATGTTCCTTCTTTGAGGGACAGTACACTTAGATGTGATGACTTTGGAGAGCAATTTGCCATCATGTAACTTGGTTGAAATGTACATCCTCTGAGGGCACACAGTACTACTCCTAGGTATGCAGACACTCAGCTCATGTGTTCCAGATGCACACAGGAATGTTCAGAGCTGCCTAGTTTATCCTAGTGAAAAACAGGAGACCATTTCAAACTCTGTGTACAAGAGAACTCACACATCAATTGCAGTATGGTTGAGCTCTGGAACACTATACAGCCAAGAAAAGTAATTTGACCAAAGTTACGTATGTCATGTGTGAAGCTTAAAACCTACTGTAGCACGAAAAAGCAAATTGCAGAAGGACACCTATAGTGTAATACCACATTCAAGTTTATAATATTCAAGACTCGATCATAGGGTAGAGGGGAGGATATAGCTCAGTGGTAGAGTGCAAGCCTAGCATGCACAAAGTCCTGGGTTCAATCCCCAGCACCTCCATTAAAAATAAATAAGTAAATAAAAACTGAATTACCCCCCTCCCAAAAAAATCCCCAAGCAAACTAAAATTAAGAAAAGAAGGAAAACAAGACTAGATCACAGGGAATATGAAAATGATAAATTCTAGTTCAGGAGTATGGTTACTTTGTTGGAGGGGAAAGGAGGTGGATGTAGCTGGGGGCTTCAGTTATACTTGCCAAATTTTATTTCTTTATCAGGTGGCTGGTACTTAGGTGATTATAGATTATTCTGGAAGGACTGTTTTGGATATAACATTTAAGTGATGTGTATAAAAAAGATGCTTGGGTTGTGGGCATGGGGAATGACAGTAAGCCTGGAGGCTGGGCTAGGGCTGGGCTTCGGATTGGAAGGAAGTAGGTGGGTCCCAGAGAGATGGAGAATGCAGAAAGAGCAGGATTTGTGACCAGTCTGATGTGGAGGGGCCGTGGGAGGAGTTGAAAATGAGGATCAAATCCTGACTTAAAGAACCAAGTGGTGGGGAGGCAGGTTTGGGGACCTCAGGTGAGATCTGTTTGGCATGTCCAAGGGGGCCTGAAATGTCCAGAGAGAGAAAGTCAAGTGGTAGTTGGCTATTTCTCTGAGGCTGGAGTTCAGAGAGAGACCAGGAAAAGTACCAGCAGTTTGTAGAGCTGTGTTAGTCAGTCTATGATAGGTTTTGCTATAGTAACAAGCAGCAATTCTCTTGGGTTAAGACAATGAAGGTTTACCTGAAATCTAATGCAGCTCAGATGATTCACCTCTATCTTGTAGCTTCACCACCAGGCACAAGGGGTCTCCAACATCCCTGGGGCAGGGAAAAGGGCAGGAGAGTTAATTTTGGAACTTGGAAACATGCATACCCCATCTGCCCACCTCCCATTGGCCAGAAACCAACCCCATGACGCCATCCTAGCTGCAAGGGAGGCTGGGAATTGTAGTCTTTCTGTGAGGCCACAGCACAGTCAACATATTGCATTGCCTTGTGTTGGCAGGGGAGGAGGCCCAGGGAGGGATTGTGAAGGGAGGGTCTGGGGGTCCACAGGGGTAATGGCAGCAGACACCGACTCCTGACTTGTTTCTCCCCTCTCTAGGCATCACTCCACCCTGCTTCAATCTCTTCGCCCTCTTTGATGCCCAGGCCCAGGTCTGGCTACCTCCAAACCACATCCTAGATATCTCTGGAGACACGAGCCTGACGTTGCACTACCGCATGAGGCGGGTGATGTCCCCTTGGAAGGCTTGTCCCCTTTTTTCTGTCCCCACCTTCCTGGAGCTGGTCTGAATCCACGCTAAGTCCCAGCTGCGCCCCCTCCCTTCCTGCAGGTTTTATTTCCGGAACTGGCATGGCATGAATCCTCAGGAGCCGGCTGTGTACCGCTGCGGGCCCCCAGGGGCTGAGGCTTCCTCAGAACAGGCAGAGAAGGGGATACAACTCCTGGACCCAGCCTCCTTTGAGTACCTCTTTGAGCAGGTGTGAGCAGGGCTGGGGGGGGCAGGACTGTTTGTAGGGGACAGGGCAATTAAAGAGTCCCTATTTCCCTCCCAATTTACCATAGCTGATAGATTTCAATACATTCTTCTGGGATTCTTTGGCTGCCTGAACCAAAGGGTTTTGAGACTCTTAGAATGCTGTGATCAGTTAATGATGTCTGCCACAGGCATAGGGTTGGACAGAGGAAGCATACATGCTGTATATTTGGCCATCACAAAAAATGGGGGCTCAATCCCTTTCCTAGAGTGGCCAGAAGCTTGGGAGTGAACAGGTTCCCATGTCACCCTTACTGTTTGACTCCCCCATCCCCAGGGCAAGCATGAATTTGTCAATGACGTGGCATCGCTGTGGGAGCTGTCAAGTGAGGAGGAGATCCACCACTTTCAGAACGAGAGCCTGGGCATGGCCTTCCTGCACCTCTGCCACCTTGCTCTCCGCGATGGTGTCCCCCTTGAGAAGGTGGCCAAGAAGATCAGGTGTCTGGAAATGGGGTGGGGATGCTGCATAGGTGGGTAGAATGCCTGGGCATCTGGGGGCCAGGATAGACCTTGCATACTGCCATGCCTTCAACAAACATTTATCGAGCACCTACTGTATGCTGGTACTCATTTTGGGTGTTGGGAACACATCAATGAACAAGGCAGACAAAAATCTCTGCCTTCCTGGAGCTCACATCTGATGGAGACAGTCAATAAACAAAACACAGAAGTATAAGGTATAGCATTTTAGATGGTGTTAAGGACAATTAGGAAAAATTAAGAGGAGAAGAGAAGAAGGGAGGAGTGTCAGAGTGAGGGGTGTACAGTTTAAAACGGTTGTCAGGGAATTCCTCACTGAGAAGGTGGCATTCCAATTCAAAGATTCTAAGGAAATGAAGGAGGGAGCCAGGTGGGTATCTATCTGGGAGAAGACAATTCTCCACAGAGGGTTAGCCAGTGCAAAGGCCCTGAGATTGGACTGTACCTGATATGTTGGAGGCTAGAGCAGGGTGGGCTTGGAGGACTCCCTAGAGTTCAAGGGAAGGAAGGAGACAGGGGTCCAGGGAGCTGCTCGCCTCCACTGCAGTGCAGGCTGGGGCAATCACAGCTTACTGTCTGGAGGAGGCAGCAGGAGAAATGGGTCTTTCAGGACCTGTGGTTCTTAAAGCACATATTTTTCAGTCCCTGTCCTCTTATCACTCTAGAGGACTAGGGCTGTGAAGCTCAGGGCACTGGCAAGCCCAGAGGAGGCACCCTACCCAAGAGATCAGAGAATACTCCTGGGGGGAGGCAACGTTTTTGCTGAGACCTGAAGGTTGTGTTGGCTTTATCCATTTGTGGATTGCATTGGCAAAGCATTCAAGGCAGAGGGAATAGCATGTACAAAGGCCCAGGGCAGGAGGCAGCAAAGACCTGTTTCCAGGGGAACTGAACTGGGAATGGGATTGCCCAGGTTCAGGAGTCGGCCAGGCACTAGTCAGGGGGCCTTTTTCCCCTGAGGGCACTCGGGAGCCCTGGAAAGCTTGGAACTGGGGGCAGAGGCAGCTAGAACCTTGAGCTTTAGGATCCCTCTGTTCAAGGGGTGGAAGAGGCAGCTTGGAACATAGAGGGTGAGGCTTGGAAATCTGTGATCTAAGCGGACTATACTGGTGGGCAGGTGCAGGGTAGGGGAAGGGGTGATGGGTAGGACTTTGTGAAGAGCAGAGGGGCTTCCCAGAGTGGTACCTTTTATTGATAATTATATATACATATGTATTTTAACAGAGATACTGGGGATTGAACCCAGGACCTTGTGCATGCTGAACATGCGCTCTACCACTGTCCCCACCTGCCCCCAAGGCAGAGCCCTTTAGAGCTTAAGGAAGTTGCCCAAGAGCTGGGATTTTAGCCACCAGTCTCCTCTGGAGTCCAGGCCCTGGGCATGGATGCCACCCAGCTTCCCCACGCTGGCCCTCTATCACATTCTCTCCTTCCAACTCCAGAATAGCTTGCCTTTTTCTAGACAAGACATCTGAGGTTCAGAGAGGTTAAGCCACTTGCCCCGTGTCACCCAGCCAGGCCTGCAACCCAGGCCCCTGACCTGACCCTCCTGGTGGTCCCCACAGCTTTAAGGACTGCATCCCACGCTCCTTCCGACGGCAGATCCAGCAGCACAACGCGTTGACACGGCTGCGCCTGCGCAGCATCTTCCGCAGGTTCCTGAGGGCCTTCCAGCCGGGATGCCTTTCCCAGCAGGTCGTCATGGTTAAATACCTGGCCACGCTGGAGCAGCTGGCACCCCGCTTTGGCACAGAGCGCGTGCCCGTGTGCCATCTCGAGCTGCTGGCCCAGGCCGAGGGGGAGCCCTGCTACATCCGGGATGGCGGGCAGGCCTCTCTGGACCCCGAGTCTGCCCCCGGACCCCCCACCCACGAGGTGCTGGTGTCGGGCACTGACGGCATCCAGTGGCGGCTAATA